CCGATACTGCTTTACAAAATTTAAAAAACGTGGTGAGTGAACCAGGATGGAAAAAAGAGTTCCAACATAAGAATGGTTTAGTTTACATGAACATTTAACCAGAACGGCAATGAAGGGTACGTTCCCTATCAGGTACGTGAATTTCATGAGAAGGTTGTCCAACTCTTATTTCGTTAATCCATCAAGTTGTTGACGTATATTCGATAAAATAGTGGACGTGATTTGTCAGTATGCGGAATGTTGCACAGTGAGGAAGATACTGGAATTCTTCAATTTGTCACCACATCTGTGGTTGACCCATTAATTCCGGAAAGCAAAAAGCATGTTAGATCAAATTTGAATTTTGCAGGATGGCGATTAGAACCTCATGTTGATGACAAAGGAAACACTACATCTGTTGATGTCATATACATCGTTGATATTGACATCAAACTTGACTCGATTCCAACTTCTATCCTTAAGATGTTGTCAAACCAAATACCAACCACTATCTCTAAAATAGATGAATTAATGCAAAAAACGGGATTTTGTCCATATGTTCTCAAGGCTGACACAAAGATCCTAACAGAAGAATTTAATGTCAAAAATGATCAATATGATTTAACATTACTCCCTGAAAGTGGTTGCATAACGGAATTCAAAATTTCAAAATTGATGTATCCAAATGGTATTGACGTGTCTGTTATGCCTGAAAACTGTAAGGTTGAATTGTTGCCGACAAGCGCGGAAACTATTCGTGTGACCCTTCCATCAAAAGTTACCTTGAACATTTTTACCATTACCGCTAGCAAACGTTCTAAAGGTTTCCGAATGACTTACAATAACGGGCAGGAAATTCCTTTGGCTTTAGATCCTGATAGCAATGACATTCCGATAAGAAAGGATATACCTACTTATGCTACTGGTACGATGTCGACAAATGCCACACTTACAAATAATACTCTTGATGAAGTAAAACCTATGAATCCGGTCACACTCGCCTCAAAAATAAACATAATTGATCCCGAGACTTTCGGCAAACCATTGGAAGAAAAAATCAATAATGTTCTTATTAATCAAGCCTTGATTCCTCCCGAGACTTTCGTTAAACCATCATCACAAGGTAAAATTAAAATAATATTAATTGTTGTTATTCAATTTGCAAATCACTACAATCAAATTTCTATTGCATTTTTTAGTATCATTAAAATTAGAAGCATATCAGAGAATTTTTGAAGAGCATCCTAAGAAGGTGAATTATAATAAGTCACAAATAATTTATTGTTTGGATAGTTTATTAATTTCATATTTTTCTTTTCATTAAATAGATTGCAACTCAAGAGTCGCGTGAGATTCAAAATGTACCAGATTCCTTAGGAGTTTCACCTAAAGAAGATCCAGCTGTAAAAAAACTAAAGAATGAAGTTATTGAAAACAATACAATTACTGACGATTTAATGATTCTTGCAAAGTCAGCTAATTTCAATTCACACCAAATTGGATTAATGTTTGCTTCAATGGTACTCGCATATTACGCAGGAAAACTGAGTACTTAATTAATTACAGTGTGGAGGGTCAAACGGCTGGGTCATATAACAAAGAATTTTGTAATTTATATGTATATTCTTATATTAATTATTCATAAATTATTATTATCTTAATTTCTACTTGACCGATATATTTCTTCAATATTTTTCTCGTCAGAATTTTTTTTTTTTTTTCTTTGTTTAATTATAATTTTCTCATTAAATAAACAGAAATGTATATGAAATTATATTACATTGCAAATCCCATTTTATAACCTTTTTATTTAATATATATATATATATATTAATTTATTAATTAATAATAAAATATATATTAATAAAAGTTTCTATTTATCAACAATTAACAATAAATTTAACTTTAATAAATTTGTTATATTTTGTTACTTTTTGGTTTGATTATTGATTATTAAAGGATTTTATAAACATAACATATAGTAGTTTAAAAAGGTTCTTAAGTAATATTCTTATATTTCTAAAAAAAATAAATTTTTATAATAAAAAAATTAGAATTTATTATCAATTTTATTATAATTAACAAATTGTTAATTGTTATCATTTACTAATTAATTAACAATTATTTTTTTAAAAAATTTAAATTATAAAGTAAATAAAAAAATTAAAAATTCTTATTTTTAAAGTTAAAAAAATTAGATAATATATTATTTTTAAAAAAAGTGATTATATAAAATTTAATTAAATAATTAAATATTATAGTTAATTGATTCATATTATTATTTTACAAATTTATATAACTGAAAATATAAATGTAAATAAAATTAACTATAAAAATAACTATAATATACATTTTATAATAAAAAAAAGTATCTGAAATTATTTTATTAATAAAGTTAAAAAATCTTTTTAAAATTTTATAAATTTAACAAAAAATTAATTATAATTTTTAACATTTATAAATAAATATAAAAATTATCTTATAATTTCTATTTAAAGTAAATATAATATTTAGTTATATATAATTAAATCTAATTTTTGACCATTAATCACTTTGGTTAAATAGTTAAATAATCAAATATTATATATTTGGCATATTATTATAACTATAGTTAATTAGTTAAGATCAAAAATCATAGGATTAAATATCCTAATCATCAATTATATATTTTACAAAGATTGATACTTTTGACTTAAATTATTCAATTTATTTATATTTATAATAAATAAATTAATAATATATAGTAAGTTTAATAATTTGCATGTTTGTAATAAATAACTGTTTTTAAATAAATAAAAATATAATTTTTTTATTAAAATTTATAATTTTAAATTATTTTATATATTAATACTAAATATTAAATAGACTAAAATAATTCATATTAAATATAATAAAAATTAAATAAAATTGTATAAATTTATTTAATAATTAATTTTTTATAATTTAAATTGTATTAATTATAAATTAGTAATAATACTTTAATCTTATTAAAATTATTTATTAATACAAAAAATTTTGATAAAAAATATATATATATTTTTTTTTATTAGAAATAATAAAATATTTATTTATTTTTTTTATTAGAAATAATAAAATAATTATTTATTTTTAATATTTTATATTTTTAAAAATATTAAAAACTACTGTATTTCTATAAACATATTATTCTATACTTTTAAATTAATTACAAATTAATTATAAATTTTCATTTTTAATTAAAATATATTTTTTAATAACTATTTAATAATATTATTTTTCATGCATTTTATCTTTAAAAAATTTATTTAAGATAAATATTTAATAGATTAACAAATAATATCATTTGAAAATAATAGTCAAATTAATATTTATATAATACTATTTTTTTTTTTATAAATATTTTTAAAATTAAAAAAAATTTTAATTAAATACTAAATATAAATTATATATATATTTTTGATATGATATAATAATAATACTTCTAAATAAATAAATATTATTTTTAATTATTACATTTTATTATAATTAAATTAAATTAATATAAAATAAAATAATAATATATCAATTATTTCATTTTTGTTCTTCAATTAACTTTAAAGCTTTTAAAGAATTTATACATTTGATAAAATTTTAATATTTTTCTTTAAATATAGAAAATCTATTAGTTTTATTTTTTTAAAGATTAGTATACTCCTTATTTTTAATAATATATTAATAAATTTTTATAATAATTAATTAATCAATTCAATATTAGAATTTAGAAAAATTATTTTTTCTTCTTTTTCTCAATATTATGACAGGGTGATGATCTTAATGATAATAGATTTACAAATGTATGATGAAGTACAAAATATCAATAATATTAAACATATCAAATATGTTTAACATGTTTAATATAATTAATATGTTTAGCATATTAGATATGTTTAATATAGTAGATATAGTTAATATATTAGATATGTCAATATATTGTCACTGTGGAATCCTTCAACTCGAGGTGGTCACGTTATTAAGTCTCTACTCAAAATTTCTTAACTACGGCTTACTGCGGTTAAGACGTTAGGATCTGCCTAACTCTTAACTTTACC